TTTAAGAGAAGCTGATACTTTTTTGACGAAGGGGGACAAATATTTATTGAACCTTTGAATTCGCGAGTTTGTACATCGTAAGAATTGTCCTGCATGCGGTGCCGTACACGTGTATCCTAGCAACAGAGACATACAAATCCAGAAGGTGGGTCAGTGGTTTAATTGAACGAATAATCGCAGTTTGGCTTTTAAAAAAGCATTTTTATAATGAGGCTACTCAAACTCTTCATTGCCAGCTGTTATTAATATTAAGTAAATTCATATCATAAAGATAACTGTTACAACCGTTTGTCTGATTTAATGTTAGCGAGAGAGAGGAGATGGATGAAAGTTCACCTCTTCGTATTTATGTGGAAAGAACACTGGCCATTATTAAACCAGATGCCATCGACAAAGCTGCGGAGATAGAGAATATTATCCTAAAGTCGGGCTTCATCATCCTGCAGGTATGTTAAAGTTTCTTACGTTGGTAACTTACAAGATGAGAACTGTGGGGTGCACTTTGTTGTGTCAGGGACGAGGCTATCCAGCTGAGGATTTTTGAGGAAATAATTTATCTATTTTCTATTATAAGAAGTGTGATATCTTCGTTCATATAAATGCCCCTTTTAAAAGTAATAGATTGTCTTCCTTTGCAGATATCAGTAGCGCAAAGGTTTTCCACTAGAGGGCGTTAATATCCAATGCAATTCAATTTTATATAGCGTCAAATCTCAACAGCAGTAACCTCAAGGTGTTTTATTCTGTATGGTAAAGACTCTACAATCAAACGTCCTTCTTTGAGCAAGCATTTGGCAACAGTGGGAGGGAAAACTACCTTTTAACAGGAAGAAACCTCTAGCAGAATCAGACTCAGGCAGGGGTAGACATCTGATGCAACTGGCTTGGGGTGATAGGAGGAAGACAATAACTTAACAACAATAATAACAAACAATAGTTGATAATACAATCACTGGGCCCTTTATTTCTAGTAAACCTGGATCCCGTTTTCCCTCAGAACCACCTGAATGTTTCATAGCATGGTTGTTGGAAACATTCCAGTTTGAGATGTTTTTAGCTTTGTGACATGGCACGTTGTCTTGCTGGAAGCAGCCATCAGAAGATGGGTATATTGTGTCATAAATCGATCGTACATCTGGTACCTAAAGTGTGTCAAGAAAATGTACCCCACACTATTACACCACCACCATCCTGAACCATAGATACAAAGCAGGATGGATCCATGCTTTCGTGTTGTTTATGCCAAATTATGATGCTCACTTTATACTTCAGAAGATCTATGACTATCCATACATGCCTAAATGCATTGAGCTGCTGTGAAGTGATTGGCTGATTAAATATTTGCATTTACAAGCAGTTGAACAGGTGTACCTAATGAAGTGACTAGTGAGAGTATGTGACAGGACAAACCATTTTGGCACATGGTAAAATCAATTGAAGTATGCATATGCAAATAGCAAATAGCCTCAGAATACCAGCCTGCAGAAATTAATCTGATCTATCTGATGTGGTTAGAGATAAATCATGACTGTGTTCACCACCATATGTGCTTTCTCTGCCATATCCAATATTTAATCCCTGCATTAGAAGCGGAAGCTGCTGCTAAGTCCAGAGCAATGCAGTGATTTCTACGCAGAGGAGTATGGAAAGCATTTCTTCCCCAGCTTGACGGCCTTCATGAGCTCTGGCCCCATCGTTGCCTTGATGCTAGCATGCAACAATGCTATCGCCCACTGGAAGTCCATCATAGGACCTGTCAACAGTGCCAAGGCCAGAGAAACCCATCCAGAGTGGTCAGTGTCATCCCTTGGGATAATGAAAAGTGGGGTGTAATTAGATTTTGAATAGAATAGAAGAAAATCAAAGGCTGACATTATTACACAATATATACTGTGCAGCATGCTCACACTTTGGTGTAAAAGCACTTGAATATTTCTCTGCAAACCTGCCCCATCCTTGAACTCAGACAAATGAATAACAGTAATAATATGTAATTTTTACATGGCTTTTCTTTTTATATATAAATTTGACTTGTATATAACTTACAGTGTTTGATTGTAATTCTGGATATCAGCCTCAGAATTTTAGTTCACCGTGTCCTTTGACTGACCCATCATCAAGGCTTGGTATATTACTTTTATCAAAGGTCTGGGTAAAGGTCAGCTCTGTTAAAACTCATACGCAGATGTACAAAAAAAGAATGCTGTACTTTTCTTCAGCCTTAGAGCAAAATATGGCACTTCTGAGCTACAAAATGCCCTTCATGGAAGCGATTCATTTCAAGCAGCTGTAAGGGAGATCAAATTCATGTTCCCAAACTGTAAGTAATTTGCACACCCACACATAATCTTCTATACATAGAGATCTTGTGCATATGCAAGTGTTTTGAATGCTTTTCATTCTTTGACCTATGTGGTTTTTTATGCAGCTATAATTGAACCCTTACCCTCAAGAGAAGAAAATGAAGAATACCTGAGCAGGTATATAAACCCAGTTCTGCTACGCGGGCTCACTGAGCTCTGCATGAACAAGCCACTCAACCCCATTGTAAGTATTAGAAGCTACACGTGTTCACTCATTAGCCAGCTGTTTAGAGCTTTGTGAACATGGGGATTGGTATCTTGTATGTTTGCTCCTGATAGATTTGGCTTGCAGACTGGCTCATCCAAAACAACCCAGACCAACCTCAAATATGTGAAGCAGTCGCTGTGGAAGAGGACCAATGAGAGGCAAACAGTGGGGGAAAAGGAGCCACGAGCACAGAGTTTAATGTCTTTCTTTTTGACTGAGAAATGAATCTGTTCAACGCTACAATGAAATAAATCATATTTTCAGTCGTAAGCATCTGTTTGCTTTCTGGCATAAATCAGCAATAGACTGGTGATCTGACTAGGTTGTACTTCACCTCTTACCTAAGCCCCAGAATTTGGGTTAGGAAAATGGATGGATGAAAGTTAAAAGTCTTCTTATCACTTAAATATAGACACAACTTCTTAACCTTTAACTAAATACATCAAAAATGGCTGTGGCTCAGGAGGTAGAGTTGGTTATTTGCTCATTAAAGGCAAACAAAAGTGTTTAGGCATAGAAAAAGTGTTTGGTTGAATTAAGCTTTCATAGAAGAAAAAAAGCACTTTCTTACTGCTTGTAGTAAGGTTTGAACTCTCAAAGCACTTTCTAAGCATTAAGAACAATTTAATGTAAAGTTGTGTTAGTTTGTCCACTTACTTTTGAGCCTCTGAAAATAGGGGACTGCGTGTACAATTGGCTGTCATTTCTGAAGGGTTATGCAACACGTTTGCCTAACTCCCTGAAATAAAGTTGCACTGTAATTTGAATCTTGTGTGTCTGTATTTTTAAATCTATGGTGGCGATTACTTATGAACCTAACTTTATCACGCTGGGATGAAAGGTCTGGAAATATTCTCTGTAATTTAATCTTTGAATAATTTGATTTGGGCAGCTCCTTAAACTATTTTACAGCAGGTTTGGCACTAATTGAACATACAGTGTTGTGACAAAGTATATATTTCAAACTTATGTCCCATATATCCTCTGATAATTGTTAACCTAGGTCTACTTCCCATTGAGTTGCAGTGGTTTTAGCCCTAGCTGGGAAAATACGTGTGTCTGGTGCTGCACTTTCAAAGTCACTCATGTGTGATCTTATGTCATTTTTTACCTTGAGATATTTAAAGAAGTCTCATTGTGAGTGAACTTGACTTTGTTGGAAGGATATGAAAGTTACTTTTAGGTAAAAGTGGCCATGTTAAATATTTCTTTTATCCTCCGTGCAAAACAGTGCACCATCTGACTTGGAAGGAGGAAAGAACGTATTCAGTATTATTGGCAATAATACTATCGGTGACTGTTTAATGTCAAAGAGCCACTCCATCTCCAACCCAGCAGGTAACACTGCTGGTTGACAAGGCAGTAGACAGCAGAGTAAATATTTGGCAGCACCAAATAACAGGACAAACAATTTTATAGGGTCTGCAAATGACGCTGTTTAAAAAGAGTGCATTTTGAAGTAGTAAACATGGTTGCACTGAATCCATCTGATAACCTGGGTCGACTGTATGAACCCAGCTGAGATTTGATTTGATTTTGAGTCAGTTCTGTTGCTGTTGCTCCACTCAGATTGATTCACTATTAGTGAAAATAATAACTTATTTGTGCATTTGGATCTGCTCACTCAGTAGGAGGGTACTTCCAATACCATTTCCTACATTGATATGCTAAGATTGTTGGAAACGGATGATTGCAGTTACCCAGCTGTGAACATTTTGTTCTGCAGTGTGTGACTCTGTTTCTTCCTAACTCGCCGGGTATACAGAAAGCTGCTTATACTGTAAACACAAGTGAGTATGACTAGCTCAGGATATTTTTTTTCTTAAATAAATGGACTGAAGAATTATAACCCAAGTATATATCCTTTTATCACACACATAATTCTGGTAAAAGGATTTAGAAAAAGAATGACAGAAAATTATGAGTTCTGTCAACACACTTCAATGCTTTTGTATCTGATTATACATATACAATTGTGTGTATTACAACCTCAAAGCCAATCAATTAGCTTTTACTGTGCACTGAAGACATTTGAGTGTGAAACCAAAAGATGAATTTGAGAATTCATTTTTTTATTGCCGTTACTGGCATCTAAATATGTTTTTTTTTAAACATAGAATATATAACTACATCAATTCTATGACCCATAGACTTCATCATATTTCTTATTTCTTCATTAGTTAGTCTCTTCATTAGTTACGTCTCTCCAGGGTTCTTTTTCAGCACCTTTTTCAGGGTTTGTCCTTTCAGTCTTTTCTTCATGAGTTGAAATGTTCAGCTGGGTAAAGATCTGGTGATGGCCAAAACCTCTCATGCCACAACCGCCACTGTGCTTCACAGATAAGCAGATCCCTTCTTTCTCCGTATATTGGGCTTTCCATCACTTCGTTGGAGGTTAATCCTTCTCTCATCATCAAACTGTTCAAGAACAGCGGTGGCTCATCTTTTTACTTTTCTTTAAACTTCAGTTTGACCTTCTAATTTTTTACCGCTGGTCAGTGGTTTGGATTTTGTAGTTTGGGCCCTGTTGTGTTTTCTAAGCCTCCTTCACAAGTCTTCACAGGTGAGAGCAAAAAAATTAAACTGAGTGAAGGTCCAGGGCTACTTCCCTATTTAAATAATCAGTAAGGAAAAATAGATTATTAATGGATTACTGTGCCAGTGTGTTTTGTTACTTTATCTGAGCTGTTTTACCCATATCTCGCACTCTATGAATATGGATATAACTTGATGACGTCACTTTATGATTTATTTATTTTATTAATAATGAAAACTTGCATCACTTCACTGGTAATTTTCAGACCAAGTTCCCTGAGTGGAGCTGAAATTACCGAGCAGTGAACACACCATTCTGAAGGTACTCTGAGTTCCTTCCTGAGTTCTCGAGGCGTGAACATCTTTTGTAGAAAAACAGAAAAAAAAACAGTCTCACATGCGATTGGTCGGTGCCGTGAATGGCAGCAGAGATTTTCCAATCAGAGGGCTTCTGCGCAAAAAGGTCGTTTTTTTCTCCTGCCGGTTCTAGAAAACCAACCACGAGTTGCCGTCGTGTGGGAGAATCCATCTTGAAGAGAGCTCTCCGGTTGTGTGATTAGTAAGTACGTTTCTGTATTTCATTAGCCTGATTAGTTTTTTCCTCATTACATTGTCACGTAAGTAATGCGATTCTTGTAATCTATTTATTTTTTAAACAGTTGTTTTTTGGGGTACGTGCAGGTAATTTTTGTAGTTATTAAAACTGTAGACTGATATTGCGGCCGTATCGGCCTCGGCATTACGTAACTGCGAATTTGAGTTGCATAGTCCCGGCTCGGTTTATCAGCGCGATACATATGTGTACAACTTTTCTAATCTTTGCCAGAAATGCGCTAAAGATGCAGTTTGGTTACTGTGATGTGTAAGTGAACGTAACTCTGTGGCCATTTCCCGGCACTCGGTAATAAGCGGGGCTCTCTGAATGCAGGGAACGCGATCGCGCCGGCCAAAATGGTGGGAAAAGCACGTATTGGCACCATGGAAATGGCGAGGCATGCACGGCATGACACATTATATAACCCCCACAACTATATCACTAATTCCTTACTCTATCTTGTTTGTGTTGGGGGACTTAGGTATAATTGTGCAAAATGTCTGAGTCAGAGCAACAGTACATGGAAACATCGGAAAACGGCCACGAAGTCGACGATGATTTTAACGGAGCCGGCCTCACTGAGGAGGGGAACGACGACGACGACGGCGCCGCCGCGCATGACTGCGGAGAGGACGCAGGCCCCGAGGACGACGACAATTCGCAAAACGGCGGCACGGAGGGAGGCCAGATCGACGCCAGCAAGGGCGAGGAGGATGCCGGGTGAGTTTGAAGCGGCCTGCTGTGAATCTGTGAAGGAAGCAGGCGTCCCTAATGAGCGCTAGCGGTTTGCCACGGCTCTTTGTTCAACCGGCCTTTTGTTGGCGCCATGTGCAGAGCGGAGAGGGGGGATGGGCGCCACTGTCAAGATTAAATCTAATATATATTTGCTTAGAAAAGCAGCAGATACGGGGTGGCTGCTGTGCCTCTACCATGGGGATTTCTCACTTTATTAAACCGGCCTTGAAAGATGGCTAACGGCTAAAAGCTAAAGCAAGTGCTACCTACCTACCCCCCTACATTAGTGGGTCACCAGATGTTTTGGGACAGCCTGTATATGTACACCCCTGGTTCTACCCACTACCACTACTGTGTGAAGCTTAGTGGGGGGGTGCCTGCAGCTGCTGCTACTAACAGTGTCCCTTCTCCTATGCTCAGGAAAATGTTCGTTGGAGGTCTCAGCTGGGACACAAGCAAGAAGGATCTTAAAGACTACTTCTCTAAATTTGGCGAGGTGACAGACTGCACCATCAAGATGGACCAGCAGACAGGCCGGTCAAGAGGCTTTGGTTTCATTCTGTTTAAAGACGCAGCCAGCGTAGAAAAGGTAAGTGATGTAATTATGTGGACGCGTGAGGCATATTTTCACAATGTGGGCAATTTTACATGTGTTTGTTTTTTTGTTTTTTTTCTTTGTCTAATAGGTTCTTGAACAGAAGGAGCACAGGCTAGATGGGAGACAGATTGACCCCAAGAAAGCCATGGCCATGAAGAAGGATCCAGTAAAGAAAATCTTTGTGGGCGGACTCAACCCTGATACTTCAAAGGAGGTCATTGAGGAGTACTTTGGGACCTTTGGAGAGGTACATTTGAAGCATTTGTCAGCATCTAAAGGAATTAAGTGGGTATATTGGAGGTGGCTGCTACAAAACTCTGATTTCTTTGTTTGTAGATTGAGACCATAGAGCTTCCACAGGACCCAAAGACAGAGAAGAGGAGGGGATTCGTATTCATCACGTACAAAGAAGAGGCTTCCGTGAAGAAAGTCATGGAGAAGAAGTACCACAATGTCGGTGGTAGCAAGGTAATGGCACAGCAAGCTTGCCGGCTGTAATTTAGTTAGCCAGATTTATAAGTTTTTGCAAACGTTTAACATGATGCTCTTTGTGTGACATTGCAGTGTGAAATTAAAATCGCGCAGCCCAAAGAGGTCTACCTGCAGCAGCAGTACGGTGCCCGTGGATACGGCGGACGTGGGCGAGGACGTGGAGGTAAGCACCAAATCTGTGTGCACTTCAGAAGACTCTTGATTTCAATCATGGCCTAAATTTGTTTCTGGAGACTTGTGACAAAAGCTTTCTACTTGTTATTTCTAGGCCAGGGCCAGAACTGGAATCAAGGCTACAACAACTACTGGAACCAGGGATACAACCAGGGCTATGGTTATGGACAGCAAGGCTACGGATATGGTGGCTATGGTGGCTATGACTACTCTGCTGGTTATTACGGCTATGGGGGTGGCTACGATTACAGTAAGCGATAAGTGGCCCCAGGGAAAAGAAACAGAATGAGAGAAACTTTATTTTCTTGGTCCTCCTTTTTGTACAGAAGAACTCAGTCCCTTTTTCTCTTGTCCTCCAGACCAGGGCAATACAAGCTATGGGAAAACTCCAAGACGTGGAGGGCACCAGAGTAGCTACAAGCCATACTGATCACACATAGTGCAGGTATGCATTTCTGCATCATCCGTGGTAGTATGAGAACATAGCTGTAACCATTAGTGCCTTCTGACCCCAGAGATCTCCATCTACTCTAAGTCCATTCCAGCATTGTTGTGGGGTTAGGGTAGGCCGCCTTGTGGGGTCTGTGATCATTAGAGATGGATTCATTCCACCTGTCGGCCATCTTTAGATGAACCTGTACTGCGACTGCTTGATCAGTGCGCGTCGAGTTTGTGGTGGTTGAAAGCGGGAATAAAGGACTGTTTCACCTTTCACCAAAGTGCTAGGTGTAACAGCTAGAGGTCGTGTCCCCCTCCCTTCCCAGCCCCTGCCCCCGTCCAAAAAGTGTGTCTGTCCATCACTGACCAGTCAAACTCATTCATGCACCTGTCTGTCTTTGTGTAACTGCATGCCGCATTTGGTTTATTCTCAGTAACGTTAAGCACCGTGTTTTTCTCTCAAGGTCTAAAGTAAATAAGAAAAAGAGATCCATGGTCTGACTACAGCGAACATGGGCTCTGGCTTTTCCTTTGGAGTTGGCAGAAAATTTGGACTCATGCTCCATTTGTACAGATCAAGTGAGGAACTGGGGAAGCAAATGTCACTTTTCCACTTTTTATTTTATATTGTTTTTTTTTGTGTCCATTTACATTTCCAGTGATGGAAGTGTTATTTTTACTGTACTTTTTGGTACCTTTTTGAATCTAATGTATTGTATGGTTGTATTTTTACATGTCTACTGGATTTACAGATGAGCAAGAGCTTTTAAAGCTCGCGAATAAAACAATTTTGCTTTTTTTTTTCTTCTTTTGCTTTTTTTTTGTTTTGTTTTGTTTCCTCATTTTGTTTTGGTGTTTATAGATTTTGTTATTCTCCCATGCTGAGTGTTGGATGTGAGTTGCATGGCTTCAGATGTGGGGTGAGGTTAAAAAAGAAAAAGGGATTTATACTAATCAAAGGGTTCTTTGTAAGAGTGTCAAATAAATATTTGCAGAAGGCCTTGTAGACAAAGACAACCAGCAATTATTTGTTTATGTTTTTTGTTGTTGTTGTTTTTGTTATTTTGGCTTTTAAGGAGATTCTTCCCCCATCATGTCTGCAATTTTTAAGTGGCTTTACTAGTGTTATTCAACTGAACGCAAGCCTGTTAAATGTAAGAGGGTATTCCCTCTCTCACTGGAAATTCATTCCTCTAGTGTCTTTGGCAAATTGGTAGAAATAAACTTTTGGTTTATATTACACATGGATCTTTCTGTTATTATTTGTAAAGTTAACGTTAAATGTTTTTGTACTGTTAACTGGCTTGCTTGTTTCGTCTCAAGTAATGTTAACATCTCCACGGGAAGCTGTGGGAGAGGGCTTCACTACCTGCAGGATAACTTGCTGAGTGTAATACCCACCCCACTAGATGTTAAACTGCAATACTTGAGCAATTTTTGTGAATGTGTCCAGGAGTTATAGTTGTCTGGTAAGTGCTTAACTCTACCATGCTGTGTATTAAGAACATGTTGCCAATCAGTGTTAAGTCACAGCTGATTATGTGAACTGCTGTCAGCAGAAAAACGATACAAGAACCAGGATTACAGTAAAAAGTTTATTTGTCAATATTTTCTTTAATTTATTTATTTTGTATTATAAAAGTGTGGAATTTCAAAATGTCATCTTCTGGTCGACTACATTTCCCAGGTGGCAATGATATGTTGTGGCTTGTAGTGTTTACCTCCAGTCTGTGGGGTGTCATCAGAGAGGTGACTGGTATGATCTGTTGAAAATGAGAATGACTAAAACGTTTGCATTGATATTTCACTTTAAATGGGCATAGTTTGAAACGAATGACGACGCTGATCCAGCAATACCTTTATTTAAAATTCACTGTCACCGCTTTGATATTCTCTGAATTATTAATTTCCAGATAGAAGTCCAACTTCTCTAAAGTGAACCCCCACAGTAGTCTGTGTTGAGTGGAAGAGGCAACATGTTCTGTGAAGCTGTTTGGTCTACTGGAGCCTCAAGAACAGATTTTAATCTCTACCTCTAAATATGAATGTGACCACCTGACTCTGTCTGATGCAATTAAAATGTTTTCTACAGGTTTGACAAACCTTAGATGTCTTCCTTTTCCAGTTTGAGGTCACTGGCTTTCATGTCTGTGAAAAAAATGAAATGGTTATATTTTGGTGTTGAGGTTTTTATGGACTGAGTAGATAGCATGCATATAACCTTGTTTACCATGTTAGTCAGCTAACCTGTAAGGATGCGATCAATACATTGCACCACCAGCTCTGCATTCTCCATGCCGAAGCACATGGGAGGCTTAAACTTCAAGACGTTGTCCCATGGGCCATCAGTACTGACACATATTTGATCCTCCTCCTTCAACCTGATATAAAAAGGACAAACTCCAATCACAGAACAGCACTGGGGAGTAAGCTTTTTAAAAAAAACAAAATGTAAAAACTGATAACTAATGTTGCACTGCAGTCCCTCACCTCTTGACCACATGCGCTGCAGCTTCTGTGGCAGGAGTCTTCTTCTCTCTGTCGGTCACCAGCTCAATTCCCAAAAATAGTCCAACACCTCTACAGAAATAAAGACATGGCCTTTTATTGGAATTATGAAAGAATTAGCATACTTGTCAAATATATTTACATGTTAAGTATTCACGTTTGCAGCGGTTTGCAGTCCATGTCTGAAAATCTGAGATTTTTCTCATTTATATCTAGCTTTTTATACTGCAAAGGGTAAACACTACCAAATATATGTATAATAGGGTATGGAGGACAATTTCTATACATTTGAATAATTGAACATTCTAGATTAAGTAAGATCAAAACACCACACCTGCAAATAAAAGTGAGATGTCAACAAGGCACTGTAAACATGGACAGTAGACGGTAGAGTCACTGGACTTCATTATATGGGAGCTCAGTTATTTTTTAAGTGCTATGAACTGCAGGATACCGCTGACGTAGCATCCTTACCTGACATCTCCAATTATTTCATGTCGTGCTTTCAGTTTTGTGAGCAAATCTTTAAGGTGGGCTCCGACCCTCACAGCATTTCCTCTTAAGTCTTCCTCCACGATCACATCAAGGACTGCTAGGCCAACTGCACATGAAACTGGAGTCCCGCCGAACTGCATGAAGTTGGAGAGTAAAATAAGTGATTTATCTTGAGAATATGCATAAAAGCATTATATTTAAAAGTAACACAGGAACTGTGAGTGAAATGTACGTTTTAAGTCTTAAAATGACTCATATTTCTCTCAATGTCATTTTAATATTAATGGTAAAATAGCTATTATTATCAAATACCTGGTTGTGTGTAGAGATCGGGCATTAATTTATGCTACATTAAGGTTTCTGTATAGTCACCGTATTGAAGTACTCCACTCCGTTGGCTGTAAAAGCTCCAGCTATCTCTGCAGTGGTTGCTACGCATGCCAGGGGATGCCCATTGCCCATCGGTTTGCCCATGGTCACAATGTCTGGGCAGAAACCGTCTCCCTGAAGCTGAAAAGCCCAGAAATGATGTCCCACACGCCCAAAACCTGTCTGCACTTCATCTGCCACAAACACGCCACCAGCTGAGCGCACATATCTGTGGAGAATACGAGGAGGAGGCACCACACTTTCATTGTTGTACAACCAGCTGAGCAAAAACAACCAGATAACTGAAGAATTACTCACTCTGCAACTTTAGGAAAGTATCCTTGGGGCAAGATTATTTGTCCACCAACACTAGGCAGGGATTCAGCAAAGAAGGCTGAGATCTAAAGAAAAAAAGATAATAAATATGCACTATAAATGTAATGTGCTTATTATTAGCACTGTTCTGAGCGTGTGTAGTAGAGATTTTATTGAGCCTGCATGGAACTGGGTTATAGTGTACCTTACGGCCTTTTTTGTGAACATCCTCTATAAGGTCTTTTACTGTATCAGCATATGCTTGGCCTGGGTTGGGGTGATCTTCTCTGTATATGCCTCTGTATGTGTCTGGTAGAGGTGCCTGGGAGGATGAAAGAACATGTTCTTTGAGATAAGCAGGAGTCTAGTGCTGGGTAGCAGTTTTTTTGATAATAGGTTTATAAATTTACACACCACATGAACCCATTCTTTCTGTCCCCCCAGTTTCCGGAACTTGTAAGGGCTAATGTCGATGAGAGACATTAGATGCCCATGGTATGCACTAGTGTAGAAGGAGAGCTCATTATAACTGAAAAGCACGTGTAATTGCAGGGTTGAAAGGGCTGCAATGGAGCAAAATACTTACTGGTCAAGAACTACGACATCTTCATGTTGGGTGTACTGACGTGCCAAGCGTAAGGCAAGATCGTTGGCCTCTGAACTATCAGGAAAAAAAAGATGTAATTGTACTTTAGAGAATGCTTTTTTTTAGGAGTATGAGCGTGCAACAGAATACTCACCCAGAGTTAACAAAGTAGAAGACACACAGTTTCTGGGGGAGGGTAGCAGCCAAGCGGTCAGCATACAGGACTATGTTGTCATGCAGGAATCTTGAATTTGTGTTCAGGACGTCCATTTGAGCTGCTGCAGCCTTTGTGATGGCGGGGTGACAATGACCCACTTTAAAAAACATTCATACAACATGTCAGTAAGGGCGTTAAAACGTCCTGCCACTAGGTGGCAGAAGTGTAATACACTGTATTTTTTTAATTGGTCAGAAAAAACGGACTTGAGACTGGATGATAATGTTTTTACCATGTTGGACGTTACTGATACAGTCCAAATAGCGTTTGCCATTTTCGTCAAATAGATACTGTCCTCGTGCTCTTACTATTTTCACTGGGTCTTCTGAATAAAACAGTCTACATGACTGTCTGTAATCAAAGAAATCAATACGTGTCATTTGCACTATATGCACAATAAGCCCGTGAGCAAGCGACAAGAAAACACCAAGTTTCATCTTACATACCCGATTAGCCTATTCCTCATTGCAAGAGTTTCTTCTTTCCGAAGTTTTTCTTGCGCCATGACAACTTAATCTCTGGCTCTTTTAATTTCACGTATATCAAATACAGATACAAATACAATGCCATAAACTATGACAGATATTGACTAGAAACTTATGAAAAGCTGTTTCGCTAACTGACCTAATACGCATGCGTCAGTGGCAGAGCTGAGTTCACTTCCCACACTTTGTAGTTTTAACTTTTCTTTTCCCCTGTCACAGGTAAAGTAGGGTATCTAAATTTAATAAATATTTTATTATTCGACCTAGATTATAAAACACCTTTGCCTTTATTGTTAGACAGGAAGATTTGATATTACGCTCTCGCTTTAACCAGAACGGTGTCACTGTGGGACGGTCAAAGTGACAGAAGCTCGTAAAATAATTGCAATGTGTTTTGCTGTGAGTTTAGTTTAATTTCCTCCAAAACAACAGAAAAAAAAACCAACAGTAAACGTTATAAATTTTTGGTATGTCTAAACCTCATTTAAGCATCTCTTGAATCACCAGTTGTAAAGGCATGTGACAAAAACACCCTCTCAATTGGTATCGTCCAGAAGCTATAAATACTCAGTTAATCTGCTCGCCACCCGGTGCACTCGCTGCGCAGCTTTGGTTGCTTAGGAACGCCTGAATGCAGGTAATACATCAAGACAGCTGTAGCATGCTAGCTCGCAACCAAGCTGCCTGACCAAGCTAACGCTACAACTGATTTAGACATAGACTATTGGGTTAGCGTTAAATTTAGGAACGCAAATTTTCATACTGGCCTTACAAAACGTAGCTATAACCGACTGGAATGACAAACCTCTAACCGGTCGCAATCAGATCTATTGTAATAAACTGACGCTAGTAATTTTAGTGCATTTATCCTATGAGCTAGCTGACAACTTGGTGCTTCACTGGCTGCATCGTGTTCGTGAGCTAGCTTACCACATACCACCTTGCTCACCGGCTATAATCGGAATCCTATCGATCCTGTAAGTTTAGCATTATTTTAATGTGTTACATTGTAACGAACAACAGCTGGATTGCAGTTCATGAATTTTAGCTGATGGGCAGAAACGTGGTTTTTGAGTAAGCTGCGCAACACTGTGTTAAACTCGCTTGTTTTCCATGTTTCTTGTATTTTTTAATTTTGTTTTTTAAAATACAGTGTCCTTAAGTCAAAGCTATTTTATCAAGGTGGCTGTGCTAGAGGTTTCTTGTCATTTCGACAGCGTCCTATATATATATTTTTTCTTATGCTGATCGAATGTATGTTTGCTAGTCACACTGAAAAGTGATGCTAAAGTTTTATACTAGTTACTTGACAGCTCTTGATTGTGTTCAGGACATGACAGTGGAAAAAGCTTGATCTTGTGCCCCTTCTTGTGGCATGTGGAACTAGGCTAGCAAATGCACTGTTTGCTACAAGGAGGAGGAAGGCCCTGGAGGCCACATCTTGACTCTCAACAGTGATTGAACGAAAGGCTCTTAAGTGAGCTGAAATATAAATGCCATCAAACGGCCTCAAAGTTGCTAGATTAATATTTGGTTTTTTTGAAGGGGGGTTTTCCACCCTAAATGTGCTCTACACATTCTTCTAAACAGAAGTCCAAAGGCTAATGGGTCATGTTACATTTTAATGCAACGGTCATTCTGTGTCTTTTACTTTCAATTTGAGATGTACAGCACTGAGTAATAGACTTCCTGGGATTCCATACATGGGCTACTGCAGGTTAATCTTCAGGTGTTTGTGCATTCAGTAACTAATGTTTTTTAAAGTTTTTGATTACAAGTAGAGTCGTTCAGGACTGTGTATTTGGTTTGGCCTCAAGTAAGTCCTTGAGACCTGGTCACTATTCTTTTGTCCCCTTTACAAAGATACTATGGTATGCTTCCAGCCCCTGTCCCATTCATTTTTCACACACTTCCCCCTCCATCCTTTCCCTTTTAGTCTTTCCCTCCCCCTTCCATTCTTTACTACTCACAACTCTTGTCATTTCAGTTTATTGGACCCTACTGACTTGACTGCCTTTGTATTGATGCAAAGGTTTTCACTTGAGTTGTAGTCTGCATCTCCTTCGAAATAAAATTTTCTTTGGAGTCCCATTTGGAATGACAATATGAACTTAATTTGATGAAATGTGACGTGCTGCTTTGTTCAGGGTCACCTCATGTCCATGTGTGATTCTCGCCTTAGTGAGTATAAGCTTCTGCTCCTGCATGAATGAAAGGGCAACTTATAAACCCTAGCTTGGTTCACATAGACCTGTGGTCAGTGTTTGGTGTGCAGCTTTTCTGTTCCTCTTGCTGTGGGCTTTCCCAAACAGAAAAACAAACATTAGAAAGTACCCTCTGTCCCACAGTGACTAAACTAGTTTGATTTCTCTGCAGTTTGTCTAACCACTTATTTAATTTGTTTCAATCTATTTTCACCTGCCTCTCTAGGTTGCATAAAGATGTTGGTGACAAAGTGAGGAAGCTGGTCAGTCTGGCTGGTTGAGGTGTAGAGGGGACGCCACAAACCACGCCAGAACTCTGACTAATGACACTTTCACTGCCCTTGGTAAATCTCCTCATCTCCATGTCTCTCCCTGGATCATAGCTACAAATATGGTGACTCTTATAACAGAGCAACTTCGTAAGCAGAGTTTAGAAGAACCCTATCACAAGGCCTTCTCATTCAGTGTGAATGTGGTGAGTTGGATGGTTTAGATGGAACAAAGTCTTGTCCTTCAAACTGATTTTGTTTCATTGACTTGGTTTTCTCACTTCTGATTTTGAAAACAAGTCATTCTGTTTGTTACAGTCATTACCTACAGTGGGCTCCAGTCCCACTGTCTCGTGGAGTGCTCATAAAACAACCCAAGGCAAGTTTAGTGAGTTAAGAGCAACATTTGTGACCAGTGGGGAAATTGGCCTCATGTTTATCTTTTTGGCATTTTCAGAGAGCTACACCTCAACTACACATCCATCATCTGTTGCCAGTGTTTTGGATGACTCCTGTGGACTTGATTCACTATGGCCTACTTCTCAATCTGGAGAATCACTCCAGAGACCAGAACGTCCCTTCAAGGCTTTCCAAAGTTCACCTCCGCCACCTCCAAAACGCCACTGCCGGTCCCTCTCTGTTCCAGAGGATCTATCTCAGTGCCGCACCACCTGGCATCCCAGCGCATCAAGGGTTTGGACCCCGGTGAAACGTAGCTGTCACAGTGGTGGAGCATCTAGTTCAGGCTCTGGAGCCAGCTCTTTGCCACTTTGTGGTCCTAGTTCCTCCTTCCCCTCTTCCTCCATACACTCATCTGCTAGTCCTACCTTCTTTAGCTTAGCGCTATCGTCTGACTCCCCGATATCATGGGGCTTCCCATGGGACCCCTGCGATACACTGAAAGGAGCGTGTTCTGCATCCTTTGCTACGCCTTCTTCGTGCTCTTCTTCACCGGCCCCGCTAACCTCACACTATGTGCTGCAGCGTCGCTTCTCCCTCTCCCCTGTACACATTCAGAAATCTCCTACGGTGCCCTTGCCCCCCCAACCCTGTCCAGGTTCAGCCTTGAAATATGGCCGTTCTGACTTGGAGCACCCAGCGCTGTCTCCGTCTCCTACTTCAGCCTGCAGCACACCATCCTCATCTAGGCGTGGCCTCCACCCTGCTTTGCCACGTTGCCACTCGCAGCCCTGTGACATGCGCAAACCTCGCTTAAAGAGGCGCCATGACCCAGATGTTCTGCCCTACCCAAGGCCAGTCCTCGACTTCAGCAAGATGACACAGGTGAGCAAGGAAGGTGGTCCATCAGTGTTACAGTACCTCTGTGACGGAGGCTAATAGTATTGGTGAGCAATCAAGTTCACTACTTTCCTTAAATGTAGCCTTCTCTTTGAGACCTTTTGTGATCTTTTTTTTTTTTGCTTTTTTTGCTTTTATCTCAGCACTTATGTTTTACCACTTTATCTTTATCACTTATTATTTGATGCAAGACAGTAATTTTTTCTGCCTATAAAAATAGTAACATGATGATCATGATGCACATCGTTTTTCCTGCTTAGATTGGTAATCGTGAGAGCCCTGCATATGGACCAGGTAGCGGTTTGATTCCAGTGACATCACAGGTGGAACGACGTTCGGCTTTCTCTCCGGCCGAGTTCCTGGGAAGAGCCAGCATCGGGCCGCTCAGTGAAAGTGAGGAAGAGGAAGACGAAAGGAGGCCTGCAGATGGAGGACAAAAGATTGTTTTTGAAAGAGACTGTACAGAATTGGATCTGAACCTTATAGAAGAAAACTGATCACTCCTTGGTGCTCTCAGTGTTATAACTGCATTCATAACCATGTTAAGCACACCTGCAGGCTTATATTTTTTTCTTTTTAATATAACGTGCTCTTCTGGCAGTTGGTGGAAACCTGCTGCCCTCTCTATACAAATGTCTAGAGTTTAAAAGTAAGATCCAAGGACCCCATGTGGGAGGCTAATATCCAATGACATTGCTGCGATCATAACACTTGAGCTCGCTTACTATTCAAAATTGCACAAATTTTGTTAGCGCTGGCCTGTTGAAGCACTCCTTAAGGAAATGTGCATGAGCGAATAAGCAAGATTTAATGCGCACAGATTTCTGACTAATATTTGATATTAAGACAAGTCTTAATTAGCATAAGCCACTGGTTTGCATCTTGATAGCCTTACATATCCTTATCAAAGAACTTTATAGCCAGAGGTTGACAGAATGTTTCTATTACATGACACACACTAAATGCCAGTAACTGAATGAGACCGATTGTTGTTCAGTGCTGCTTCTGATACTCGAGTAGACTACTTTTGTATTTGGCTGACTGAATTAAATGTGAGCTGTTTAACAGTAGCTAAAATGTTGCTGTGTGTAAAATTAAAAAAAAACCCATACAATAAGTATCCATATTTAATTGTTCTGTGTATTTAACAGGATACATTCCACTTTTTAAAAATCTTGCCTAAAGCCTGTTCACTTTTACTGCTGTTCTAACCTTTCAGATAGATTCTGCTTTTCTTCTGGCACAAACGACATAACACACCCTCTACGTTACGTTATCTTTTTGGAGTTTGTGTAATTGCTTTGACATTGACACACGTTGTCAACAGCGACATGGCTTACATAAACTGACCATGCCTTAAGCTTAAAATACAGAGTTCTTGGTGCTGTGCTCTTGTTTTTCACAGCCAGGCTCCTGTTTGCACTGATTGAGATATTTCTAAATTCGAGGCACATACACTTCAGTGGTCAGTCGTATGAGTGCTGCAGCTGGTCTTCACAGGGCACAATGTAAC